GCTGTATGAGTCATTAACCACAAAATTATTGTGTATATTTATTCCAATAAAAAAGCTGTATGAGTCATTAACTGCAAAATCATTGTATATGTATATTCCAAAAAAATAAAGCTGTATGAGTCATTAACCGCAAAATCATTATATGTGTTTATTCAAAAAAAAAGCTGTATGAGTCATTAACTGCAAAATCGTTGTGTATATTTATTCCAATAAAAAGCTGTATGAGTCATTAACTGCAAAATCATTGTGTATATTTATTCCAAAAAAAAAAGATGTACGAGTCATTATTTGCAAAATCATTGTGTATATTTCTTCCAAAAAAATAAACCTGATAAGGTGTTTTTTTGCAATATTGTTATAGAGGAAAGATGCCACCTATATTCTTGAAAACCAATTCTAATAGTTTTCTTTTTTAGTCTGCATACAAAAAAATAAAACAAATGTAGAACAAGAACAAAGATTTACAGTTTGTTTGTGTGGACCTAAAGTATTATCCTAAGCACATCTATTAACCAAAGAATAAAATATACAATAGAATGATTCAGCATTACATAAATATTGTATTAATCCTGTGAAAGAAGAAGTAAAGAGAAGAGAGAAGACTAAATCTGCCACTTTACATTATTCAGAGAAGGGTTAGGAGAAGGTGGAGTGGTAGTTTTAATTTTGTGTGTTGTACATTATTTTGTGGTTAATTCATATGGCCAAAGGTAACTTTAGATTATTAAAGAAAACTTGTTCATAATGTTAACGGTTAAATAAAAATGTTGAATAAAAACTTAGTAGTACAGTCAACATACGAAGGATAGTATAACTACATACACACACACACGTGTGTATATATATATAAAGTAAAACATACAAAAAATATTTATAAATTAATTGAGGAAACAAATAACTGTGCATCTTGCATTTTGAAAATATACATAACATATAGTCCCATAGTCAGGTTCGTTTTGTTTCCACAATTAAAAATACTAAATAAAGTCTAAGGTAATAATAGTACTTTGGCACTTGTGTATAAAGTTAAAATCATAAATAATATTCAACTTTAAACTGGTACACAATTAAAGACATTTTATTTAGGCCTATCTATGGCCTTCAAAAAGTTGACGACTCTACACGTTTCGACAAGGATGACGTTGTAACGTCGAAAACATGTAGAGTCGTCAACTTTCTGAAGGCCATAGATAGGCCTATATAAAATGTCTTTAATAGTGTACGAGTTTAACATTGAATATTATTCATGACTTTAAGTTTAAGGTAGTTTCTTATCAAACCAGTGATACAAGTCACACAAACTGAAAGATGTTTGCATGCAGAGAAAATTACAATTACAAATGAGCCCCGTGTATTTACATTCATCGTAAAATCCATAGATTCTGTTGATGCTAGCGCACTCGTGATTTCCTCGTAGAAGAAAGAAGTTCTCTGGATATTTGATTTTGTATGCTAACAAAAGGGATATTGCCTCTAAAGACTGTTTTCCTCTATCTACGTAGTCACCGAGGAATAAGTAGTTACTCTCGGGTGGGAATCCCCCATACTCAAAGAGACGTAACAGATCATAAAACTGGCCATGCACATCACCTGGAAAACATGAAACATCCTGTTAGAGAAGTTAAAACTATTTTTAAGTACTGCATCACAAATAAATCATTTTAATGTAAATCTTAGTTTAGTTAATTCCCGAGTATTTATATTTTCAAGCTTTCTGTTTAGTATTGATGGTTTTCACTGGATGTTTTGATATAGACTCAGAAAACAAATTTAGCTAAAGAGATAAATTTGGCTTTAAGGTACTCTTGTACCTTAAATATAATTTTGAACTGATTACCTTCTCAGTAACACAGGCCTGTAATGGTTTTATTGTCTTGAAATTTTTACATGTTCTACGGTAATTTCTGTACGCTGAATCCGAACATGATATCCATTTTCCTCCAACACGTACAGATTTTTCACAAAACGTCACATGTACTTTTACATACGTGAATCATTTTCATTGAAATCGGGTCGCATTTTGTTATGCTTAAAATGTTGACAACCACTGGCTATCGATTTATCTAGACCATGAGAGTCTTACCGATCGTTCTAGAACTCACGAGAAACTCACATAATAATAAAAAATGCTCAATGTGGTAAACAAAATAATAATTTGATCTAAGTAAGTGTTGTTGTTTTTCCCAATTTCTAAAAAAATCCTCATGTTATAGAAAAACAATGAATATTATTTTCCAAATCTGTGTAGCTGAATTATGGAAAATCCGTTATTTACGAAGTTTATATTTGTAGGCCTGTGTAATCACATCCTGATATCTAACAACAAAGAATGAGATAAAACTATGCCAAATGATACAGTCACTGCAACATCTACAGCAGTCACATACAGCTACGCTGATGTAGTTAAAATACTACATCTTATCATGACGCTATCTGGTATTACGTGCTAGCTTAAAAAAGAAATTAAAATTGGCATTTGAAGATATATGAACACAGACTGTCAAATGGAAGGCAAAAACATTATTAGTCCAAAAACTACAAACTTGCATAACTTAAAACAGCTAATTGAAGAATCACTGTACTCACTAAGTAACCCTAATTTGTTTGATTAAATAAAGAAAGATCGAGATATACAGAACTCCTCAATAAAGATAAACAAGTAACACGTCTTCATTACTAAGCTGAATTTGCAAAGATGATTTGCATGTTAACTGAATCCGATTAATATCACCCATGTTCAAAGTATAAACCACTATTATCAACATATATGTGACATAGAAGTTCTTATAAAAAATTTACATGAAATAGAACAGAATTATGTGGGCACACATACATACATACATATATTTGCATATAAATGTACACAGACACATGTTTGACAAAAACAGTTTGTATAGATGAAACATTGATAAGAAAGTAAAAGGGGATTGCCAGATGGAGATAAGCCAAATTTAAATAAATTCCTTAATTTTTATATGCAAAGGGAAGAATAAAAAAAAAAAGAGTTGTGATATATAACATATTATGTTAAAAAAATATAGCTTCCTACAAACATGTTAGTATAAAATTAGAAAATACAGACAAATGTAGGAGAATTAAGAAAGTCTAAAAGCTATTGAAAAACATGCAAGTCTTACTGATATTGTGTAGTAAAGTTGTTACTTACCATCTCGTTCTTTAACATGAGACTTACTGTGGACATATATCAAGATGGTTACTTACCATGTTGTTCTTTAACATGAGACTTACTGTGGACATGTATCAAGATGGTTACTTACCATGTTATGAGACTTACTGTGGACATGTATCAAGATTGTTACTTACCATGTTGTTCTTTAACATGAGACTTACTGTGGACATGTATCAAGATTGTTACTTACCATGTTGTTCTTTAACATGAGACTTACTGTGGGCATGTATTAAGATTGTTACTTACCATGTTGTTCTT